GTCGAGGCAGAGCCGACATTAGAGAAGAGCAGAAATAAAAAAGTTGGAACTCTTGGAAGGGGGAGAGAGGGAGAGAGAGAGTTCCCATGGCAACAATGAGTGATAACATTGTGTATAAAGTTTTGGTTTGGTTTAGAGTTTTTGGTTTGCATTTATGCAGCAACTGGTTTGTACTCGGGATTTAGATTTTAAAAAATCTATTCAAAATAATATTATTTTAATATAATATTTAGATTCGTTTGTTAGTGTTTGAAATTATTTAAATTATCTTAATATTGAAAATATATTGTTATAAAATAATAAAAATATTAATTATAAATTGAAATCAAAGAATTAATTGGTGTTAGAGTTCAATACAAAATGACTTTAATTGAAAGGAAAGCAGTATTTAGCAAATTAGACACGTGTTAGTCGGATATTATGTTAGTTTGTATGCATATTATAATCCAAACATAAGCACTAATTTAAACCAATGCATCAAAACAAGCGAATATTTATGTTGGCATTTGTGGCCTTTCCTTAAATAGATCATCACATTTGGATAGATTTGAAATATTTCTCACTTTTCCTATCATTTAAGAATTTAACTCAAAATATATATAAAGATATTGAGAACACAACCATAACTATAATAATAAATGCATTACAAATAAGATGTGCATTTTAAATGTGCTAACAATTGAAAAATTGGTCCCCTTTTAGAGGCTATAGAATACATAAAGAATTTATTATTAAGATTCTGTATATTCTGTAGTTCTTGTGTTAATAGTAAACATTGATTTTTGTTGTTTAAAGACTTTTGTTAATATTAGAAATATTATAAGTAATTCATTAAAATAAATATTAATGCTTAGCAACAGGAAAAATAATTTGATTCAAAATCAACGAATATTCTCACTAATCGTCAAAATAATTAAAATCAGCAAAAATATAAGAAATAAAATTATGATAAAACAAAATGAAATTTCCTATAAAATATTAGATGTGATGTATTGATGGTATGTCTCCTGAAATGCCACTTCATTGCATTATTTGGTAAAAACTAATATATGATAAAGTGATCAAAAGAAGAAGAGAAAAAGATTGTTATCAGAAGATTTGGTACGAAATAAATATAGTATTTTTCGTTTGAATTTATGCTACAATAAGGCAAACATACATAGAGTTTATGTTAAGCTTTTAGACACTATTTGAGAGAAGGCATAGACACACACGTGTGTTATTCTCTATATTACATTATAGTCAGTCAGTGATATACACTATACTGTATAATAACACTATACACTATACACTATACTCGTCAAATGTTATAGAGAAATATACGGAGCATTTCTCTCTCTCTCTCTCTCTCTCTCTTTTCACTCACTCACTCCCCCCGCCCTCCACTTCCTTATTCACTAAACCGTTTTAAAGGCTATAATTTAGTCGTAAAGCCAACACATTTGACCACTTCTTATATTTTTCAAAGTACTAATCTATTGACTCTCTCTCTCTCTCTCTCTCTCTCTCTCTCTCGCATTCTGTGTGTGCGGAGAGGTTTTGTGAGCGACTAGTCTTGTCGATGGCATAAGTGGTACGACTTGTTCAGTATAGTGTAGACCCGGTTTGGATGCAATCATTGGCTGTCGGAGGGAATACACATATTTGATGCTTAAAATAAGAGCTCAGATGCAGTGCTCGCTAATGATTCTCATTTGTCTCAAACTCCAGTCTTATCGTTGTTTCGCTCATAAGAACCCAAAATGTGAAGACATTTTCCTCACTCATACCTTACACTAAAGATAATAGTATTTTATAGATATTTAGGTAAAATCAGTGCTAAGAATAGCCAAACCAATGAGTTAACCATTTTCTCTCTCACACATCCCATAGGATTTATTATTACAAACAAATCCCAAACTCGTTGACCATTTGACTATTCTATGCTATACTCTCTCTTTTATTAGAAAACATTAGATATAATTTGTTTGTCTCTTAAGCATAAGAGTCGGTGATATTAATTAATTATTTTAAATGAATATTTTCTAATTCTGTGAATATTTACATAAAATGAAAAACTAAAGATGAAAATAGATTTATATTTTAGAATTTTGGTCGATTTTGGTATACAATTCTGGTTGTGATGCGGCGTTCATTATAATGGACTGGTGTTGGGAACTGGCAATCAAATAATGGTTGAGCGCAATAGCAGTCACTACTGACTACTGATTCAATAGTGAGCTGAACGTCGAGGCAGAGCCGACATTAGAGAAGAGCAGAAATAAAAAAGTTGGAACTCTTGGAAGGGGGAGAGAGGGGGAGGGAAGGCATGCTTTATTGATTTTTCACGGCAACTAAATGGATGAGAAGACAAGGCTTCAGGCATTATAGCACTCAAACCAAGGGAACAGCACAACCAAAAAGACACCGGAGTTATGATGTAAGGGGGAGAGAAGGGCAGGACAGGCACGTTGTGGTGCAGCTCTGGTAAGCAATAGCTATGCCATTGACATGGGGGTCAACTAACTTATACCACTCTAACCATTATACCGATCCTCTGCCCGAACTTAACTTCAATTTTCTTTACTCTCAAACACCTCTTTATAACAATAAAAATAATAGCAATTAATCTATGGTTGAGAACGAAAACCAGATTTTTGTTAATAAAATAAAAATTCAAATTCCTGTCCATTTTAGTCTTCATTTTACTTAAACAGACCGAAAATTATCCATATATTCCTCAACAATATTTATATCAAATATATCTGATTTGCAAACTTTTTTGTAATAAAATATTATGCAATAAATAATTTTCAAATCACTAATTAATGAGTAGAATATTATTTACATATTCGGGAAATAAAGGCTAAAATTCTGCAATAATTTAAACCCTAAGTTAAACATTAACGCAAATATATTGTTTAAAACTCTAAAGTTTAAAATATTTAGCGATTTTCTTATCGTATAATTACAGTCAGAAATCAAAGAATAAGTTGAATACACTGTAAGAAAATTCACTGGAATGTATGCGCTCTCTCTCTCTCTCTCTCTCTCTCTCTCTTTCTCATTGCATGCTTTTCCCTCAGCCCATCTTCTCCCCTTATGTCTCTCTCTCTCTCTCTCTCTCTCTCTNCTGTTCCCTTGGTTTGAGTGCTATAATGCCTGAAGCCTTGTCTTCTCATCCATTTAGTTGCCGTGAAAAATCAATAAAGCATGCCTTCCCTCCCCCTCTCTCCCCCTTCCAAGAGTTCCAACAATAAGCAACGAAACGCATGGATGTGTATGTGTTGAGCGAAAACCCGTTTTCTAAGCAATTGATGGAAAAGTCCACAACTTTTGAAACATGAAAAGTGCGGAAATTTAAACATAAGTTTAAACATAGAATGAGTGGATTCTTCACTTTATTTGTTTGGTTTGATATTGTTTTTAGACATCATTTGAATGGGAGAATGAGTTTGCGGTCATTGAGATCTATTCCCTCCCATAATAAACACAATTCTTTGCTAATTCTGTATAATATTCTGTATATTCTATGCGAAATTCTGTATTCTCTATATTCATAATCAAGCTTTTCTTTTTATGATTGAAAATATTGATTAAAAATGCCAACAAATCATTAGAATTATATTCAATCGATTATTTACTCTTCACATGAGAATGACGTGAAAATAGTGTGATATAAGAGTTTTAGCTTATATTGTATAATATATTTTCATAGAGAGTGTGAGTGTATGTAGAGTATAGAAGCTATAGGTCTATACCGAGTATAGTAGAGTATAGGGTAGTGTGTATTAGAGTAGAGTATGAGTGCAAATATCATATATTGAATTGCATGAGGAGTTGCAGCAGCACTGGGAGCTGAGCACTGCGTTGGTCGCACTGTACATATCCTGTTCAACCATAGCTATAGCTATAGTGAACTTTCCAAAAGCTATACTACGTCTACATATTCTGGAAAATGCAATTCTGTAGTAGAGATGCATTGCGTTTCGCTGTACACACGCTGTACTCGACAAACATAACTAACTCTATGCCATACACTATGGCCTCATATATCGACTCAATTCAATACAACACATCTCAACGCATGACATCTCAACACTAATATTGCATCGAATCGACCGAAACACTAACCCTAACCTCATTGGAAGTTCATAATTACAGTCTCACCTCTTTATAAGCAACTAAATATTGCACTAAATCTGTTGCTCTCAAACACTAATTTAGCTTATCTTATAGGGAATAGAAAGACAGGAGACATACAATTCTTATAAGGAGGAGAGGGCTGACTAATCAAAAGCCTAACTTACATGACCAGCGATTCCATTGACGGCATATCCAGAATTTACAAAACCCTAGGTATGAGATCAAAGTCCAGAATTAATAGGGCATACGTTTCAAACACAACATCAAATTTATATAATTATTCATCAATTCCTACTCTTTCTCAACACATTTTCAACAATACATCACATTTTCGATCGCTTTTTTAATTTACAAATCAAAAAACTTATACTATTAAAGATTTCTTATATACTGAGTGACGATATCTGATATATTGAATGCAATAATACTTACGTAATCGTGAAATGCTTTCGCTTCACTTGAGTGTTCACAGGAGTCCCTGCGTTCCGGTGCCGCACAATACAGGTCCCAAAATACACTGCAATATCACAAACAAATAACAAATGAAACAATTAATTATCGGACAAAACAATGGTAATGATGAGTGATATACTGACCACCACCACGAGTGTAGGAAACCCGGCGGTTCCCCTAATGTGATGTTCTTCTCCCATCTTATCTATTGAGACAAACAATAAGAAAACAATATTATAAATGAGTTCGTTTGCCTCCCCTTCAGGGCTTATGGGTAGAACACCTCCGATAATTGTATTCATTATTTTTATCATTGATTTATCCAACCCTTTATAATGTTTTGTCAAAATTAATTAAATTGTTGTTTCAAAAACTTGTGCACAATATGTAAAACACAATTTTATATATTTGTATTTTGATTTTTGATATCGAAATTATTTTCATATACAGTACAGAATATCGTTTGGAAATAATTTATTATAAATCAATGAAAATAATTGATAAAAATTAGTTTCTTTTTTAGTGTCTATGAAATTGATATTTTGTTCATAAGAAAACTTCTTTACTCCAAACGCTCTCTCCTTAACTCTTTTTCTAATTTGTTTTTTTTGGCTCTAAAATATTGCTTCAAAATTGAATTTCAATCCAAAATTATTCTTAAACTGTATTTTAATTCTATATTTTACATATTGGAGAGAGAGAGAGAGAGAGAGAGAATATTTATTGTGGATGCGATGGGGAGAAAGTGAAACTCAACGTATACTAAAATTTTAATATATTTGTAAAATATTGCATTGAATTAGTTATTTAGTGGTCTTTTAAGAGTTGGGGAATAGTTATTGAAAAAATGCTAATATTTATTGTCAATTGATTAGTACTTTGAAAAATATAAGAAGTGGTCAAATGTGTTGGCTTTACGACTAAATTATAGCCTTTAAAACGGTTTAGTGAATAAGGAAGTGGAGGGCGGGGGGAGTGAGTGAGTGAAAGAGAGAGAAAGAGATGGAGGGCTCACTCATTCTCCAAGTGGTTGTCATGTTATATATGGGTAACGGTATATATGAATGGCTCTGCCAGGCGTTAGCTGGGGATAAGTGTTGGAGAGTTGGTGTGTGTAGTGCTGTGTGTGTTGTGTGCGGAGTGTATGCGTGGATGTGTTGCGAGTAATATAGCGTCGAAAACATATTTACCTCCGATAGGAAAGTTTGTGCGGCTTTTTGTGCCCCGACGTGCAGTAAGTACTCGTATACATATAGCGCTAACCTATTATACATTATATTCAACATATATTAGTTTATGCATTTTAATATTTAGTGGCCAGTACTATGGCCAGCAAAATGACCATGCTGCTCGTGGTTGTTACTCACTTTTCTCTTGCCTGAGCATCTGAAGGGACTGTCGATCCTTTGCCTTTAGTGTACATATCGTTGTCCCTACTGTGGAGCACCTGTCGGTCCATAACATATCAATGTATTATTATTATCATTATATAAGCCATGGTTTCCATGACTACACTGTGTGAGAGAGAGACTGTGAGTGTGTGTGGACTCGACTACAGTGTGAATGGAGAGGGAAAGTGTAGGCTCTCTGTGGCCACCACTGAGTCCTCCCCTCCCATGCACTCAATGACAAGCATCTGATCCGACAAATGGTGATCACACGCGCCAAACACGGATCACTTGATTGCATAACCATTCAGTATATAATACTTTACAAACTTTTCAATTATTGAACCCATTATTAGTCTTAAATATTTTGCACATCTTTTTTCTACCCTCCGATGGCTTTGATGTTAAAAAAGAGTTATCTTTTTTATGCTGTTATGTATTGCAAAAAAACAAGCGTTTGATTCGTTGCTAACATATATGCAATGTTTTTCTTGATTCATTCAAATGGTAATTGTTTGACATTTTATGCACAACTGTTGTTCACTCGACACATGATCGACAAAATTCATGTTAAACTACTTCCCAATCAATTTACTTAGACATCAACTCCTGATAATCACTACTATTTTGCAATCATAAAGCCTTACGAATACAGTGTAGACGTGAACCCAGAATATACCCCTCGCTGTAGTTTATCGGTCGACAATCGCTGATAAAAACTTATCCTTAAACTTCTCCTTAAGCTTTGAACACATGAAGTATCACTTTTGATGTCATAAACACTACATTATTGGGAATTATATATTGTTTTTAATAACATTTCACTATAATTTTTGGCCAATTGTTGGCTAATTTGTCAAATAATGAATTATTTTTTATATATACATTCAGCACAACGTGTGTTGCGAATGACTGACTGTTTGCTAAATATATATATTTATGGTATAAAACTATAATTTAATACTAATTGTAGTTATAATTAAACTAAAGCACAGAATCATTATTACGATTACAGAGAGTAGTCTACATATAAAGCAGTGAAATATGAAATTCAAATATTGTGATCATTTATACAGATCTCTGTAATCATAATTAATACATGTTTTATTATACGAATATATTTATTAGTTTAAATGAATTCATTTATTGTTCGTGTATTTAATTGAAATATATTTTCAATTCTTTAATCTATGTCTCAATTACTATATATTGAGTTTATTTTCAACACAAACTGATACCCCATATAAATATATTTACTGTGTTTTCAGTTAATCATTGATTAATTGAGTAGATGTTGTCAATGTTGTCAACATGGATGGGAATTTGCATCAATGTAACCTTATTTTATATTTCTTATTAAAAACTAGTGAATATATTCGAGAAATAACACATTCATTGTTTATCATAAAAATGTTACCAACTTTTGAATCTGTGTTAATTGTTGTATCGATTATTTATACGATAATTATAATGATATATCAAAAGATTGTTTACTTTGAAATGAATATATTCTGTGCTAAAAATAATGCAAACCGAGTATTCATTTGACTTAAGTATTGATATCTAGTTTTTAGAAAAACAAAGACTTTCTTTTGCAATAAGAGCTGAAACGTGAATATATTTAACATAACATTTCATCCATTCATTCATTCCTCACAACTATTATGTAATTAATTTGTTAAAGAATTTATAAAATTCTGTGCGAAGACAAAACAAGACAAATAAATTTGTCGCTCATTTCACGTGATATATATGCATAGGTTTCCACGTTATATACAGTATATTCCCGATTGATTTCAAATGTGTTTTCCAGGAAAATATTTTACAAATTTCTAAATTAATAATAAGTTTGCGAAATGGCATTGAAATGTTTAATTAACATATGTTTATAAGGAGTGAATGCATGAAACAGAATATTATAAAATCTCTGTCCTTTTGGTATCACATAATGCTTTCATTACATTATTATATGTTTATCTCAAGAAAGAGATCCCAAACTTATAATTTGGTATATATTGGTACCCATGAGTACAGACTATAATTCATTTGATGAGTTGCTGTGGTTTATGAATAAATTAATTTATTTTCTATGATTTTATGGGAGAATTGAGGAAAAAATTAGTTAAATAAATATATATTTAATTGACATTGAATTTCATGCGTACATTAAATCTACGGTTTAATTTCTCTGACTTAAAATTTCATTAATAATTTAAATGCAGAGCTATTAAAAATCAAAGTCTAATAAATTTACAAATATATTTCAATTTACATTAAAAAGTATATAATATATGATTCAAATGAAAGATTGCATTTAAAGCACGAATAAATCGATTGTGCTAGATAGATATATCATATAAAATATAAATTAATATGGTAATACTGTTTAAGCTAATATGAAATTAGTAAATGTCATTTAATGTTACGGTTTGTCACTAAAAAATGTAAACATTTTTTCAAAGCGTTTAAATATTTTGGTTCTTAAGAGACGGAAGTCTAATGTGAATGAATATAATGAATGAATGCCAATGTTTTTGTGTTCAACAATGAATGCAATGAAATAACCGAAATGTATGAATGAATCAATTCCATGGCATTAATAATAATTCTCTATAATGCTATTCACACAGCATTTTATGGCCAAATATTTTAATACACTATTATATACGAGTAATTATAACCATATAATGACGATTAGATTTCAAAGTAAATATCATAAAAATGTAAATATATCGACAAAAATACTAAAGAATGACTTTTGTATTCAGATTTGATTTGTTGGACCAAATCATTCATTGATATCATTTAATTTAATACACAATACAGTATTAAACATAACAATGTTTGCTGTTATGCCTAATGAATGGCAAAACAATGCTATTTATAAACATATTGTTTTGAATCCAATTCGACCACATATTCAGTTCAATCACAATTAAGTTTGTGTTGTATTACTTCAACTAATATTGTATTTTCTATCGTATCTAATGTTTAGATAATTTCTTTAAAAACTTTTTTGTCGGAATATATTTATTAATTGAGTTGTTTTTAAAAATTATAAATCATTTAAACGCAACAATAACTGAAAAGTTTGTCTTATTTTTGTGTCATTAGTTGTATTTTATATTATTATTTATTTTAGTTTAATTTATTTACGTTTAATATCATTTTAATTAAGAAAATTTATGACCATTATCAATCTAACTCACAGCCAATATATTGAGATCTATTCCCTATTATAAGCGCATTATTTATATTATTATTGTTATTATTATTATTATTCATTATTTATTACAATTGCGTGTATTATATACTAAATGGTTAAAAAACTTAACACACGAGTCGAGTCACTGAAATTGTTAACCGGTTTTGAATACCAGTATTTATAGTTATATTTTTGTAAAAATGCTTTATTTATGAAATATATTATTATTATTATTTAATTTATATATTTCTCGTTCAATACAATATATATTTACATCAGTAGTCTATATGATCGCCAAAATTGCATTCAATTTCAATCATTTTATTTAAATATTTTGTTAATAATTATAATTGTTATGCATTTGTTTAGCCAAACATTTGAATTGTATATCATATATGGTTAGGAGTTTCGGAAACATTAATGTTTTTATAATAATCATTAACTTTAAATAGTCCTCTCATTGTTTCGGCCATATATTGCAAATATATNTTGTTATGCATTTGTTTAGCCAAACATTTGAATTGTATATCATATATGGTTAGGAGTTTCGGAAACATTAATGTTTTTATAATAATCATTAACTTTAAATAGTCCTCTCATTGTTTCGGCCATATATTGCAAATATATTGTAAATATTTAAATATTTACTGTATTTATAAAAATAAATTTTAGAAAAGGCATTATTATATTCTTATAAAAGAAATAAATTTAATGTTTTATAAAATGATTGAATGAAATAAGAGTTTATATAATGTTTATAAGTTATATATGGAGTAGATTTAGCCGAAGCCGGGCTTACAAACCGGTTCTCATTTGCGAAGCAAACCTTTTCTTCAATATATTCAACATTTAAAAATGTTTTCAACAAAAATGATCACATGATCTCCAAAGAGACAAAAGTTATTTAAGTTTTATATAACTATTACTATTACTATATGGACGGCGAGTCCGGAAATAATTATAATTTGTAATAAATATAATTATATACACCTCTGGTATTGGTAACCAGTAATCATAATAATATGGACAATACATGCAATTATTAATAAATAAACTATAATATGGACTCGTGTTGTGTTGCGATTGAATTAAATTAAATTAATTTCTATAATAATGTGTGAAATGATAATGTGATCAAACATTTAATCTATTAATTGATTGAAATACAAATGTGTTGAACAATTCAATGAACTTTTCAACATGTGATGAATGCTTAACAGTATTGATATATTTAGGCAATGATAGACTTATTTCACTGATTGTATTGATATTGTATTGAATGAGATGTGAAATGATAGCTAATTAACAGAATTGCTATCAAATGTATTGTCAACAACAATAATAACACAATGTTATTGTGTTTTGCATATAATTGTTGATAATATACGATAAATGAGATACAATTGCAATGATTATAGTATTGAATGTTTGTTTAGATAAGTATTTATAGCAAATAAATAGTAAAATGTGAATCAAATTCTCACCTCTTTTGACAATCAATTGTTTTCATTCATTAAATCGATAATTGATTTAAATTTGTATTTCCTTCTCATTTAAACACAATTATAATATCCATAAGAGTTGACACAAATGTCTTATGTCTAATGCGATGATCCGATTGACTGATTGGTCAATCCCTTCACTTCTTGGGATTCGTTTGCGGAGACAATGAACCTCAGAGTTAATGTCACATCAGATTCAATGGATTCAAAGCAAACGATTGTCTTTTTCCCACTTAATTGTTAACAAGTGTTGCAAACAATGCAAAACATGTCATCAGAAGTCACCACTTATTGTCTTATTATCACTAAAAAACAGTCTTATTTCGGAGGAATATTTGAGACACAGATTCACAGATAATTGACTAATAAATATGTTATTAAATATTATTTTTAATACTTATTACGGATTGTTTTAAATGTCCTTTTGATTTACAGATGTATTGACAAAACGGTTCTTCACGTGTAAAGTATGGATAGTTGTGGACACAAATGAGTGGCAAATACCGTATTAATTGAGATAATATTAGTGGTAATAATGAAGTACTTATTGAATGAATGAATTGACACTAAATGTAATGATCTTTAAGTAAATGAGACGATGAGTGACGAGTGCTTCGAAGGGACACTCGATTGGAACCAATTCTTGAGATCTGTTGACCAATTGTCCGCAATTTCGGCCAAAGTGGACGACAATTGGATCCGACGCGAGGTTTCGGTAAGAATTACTGTCAATGATATTGTTTTTGTTGTTGTATTGGTTTGAATGGTTTGAATGGCGCTATATATCGCACATTTGGTGGTTAACGACAATCAAATGAGTTCTCTCAATGAGAGCCGCGACTGAGACAATAGGTTTCGCACAAAACAATTGACAAATACAACTCATTTTGAAGCATCAAAACAATAATCGTTTGAATGATATTATTATTGAATTATATATTTGTATATTTGGTTCTCAATTGTATGGATAGAGCGCTACTCATAGACTGTCCCCTCCTTTCTGTGCCTCACGAGAGAAGTACTGAATCTTTCGTATACTTTATTCACACTTTTATTTCAATGCATTCGAGACTCGTTTCCAATGCATAAACTCATGGATTCATCCATTGGCTGCCGAGGGGTAGACAACACCACAAAACACTGCCAAACCATCCATTCAGTCAGTCTATTGAGCTGTTGTGTTGACTCCGAGCACAAGTCAATAGAGCCGGCACTACAGCACAAGAATTGCCACAACCATAGGTGCCCTCAAACCACCGGTGCCTCAACCGAGACACACATATTCTCGCCCCAAACGGACGAGTATTTCCCGATTTAGGCCATCAATCGGTGAAATTAATGCTAATATTTGTTATATGTATTGAATATCGAGAAATATTCGGGTATTTATGAGTTGGGGGTTCGAGAAGAGGGTGTGAAGTGGTGGCCATCCCTGGTATGGTAGCCCTGGTTTAGGTGCGGGTTGTATACGATCTCCATAGTTGCTGAACACTCTCTCCCACATTGAGACAGGCTATTGGTGAGGGAGGACTGGGAGTGCTATATACGCGATGTCTGTCCAAACATCACTGCGCGCTCTCCTCTGCCTCTCTCTCCCTCTCTCTCCCTATCTTCGAGTCTCATTGCCTTCGAAACGAAACATAATTTATTTGAAGACAATCTCAACGTATTTCTCGTTCACTGCAAACCCAGCCCTCTGTTAAGGACACAACAATTTGAAACGACTTCGCAAACTAACCCTGTCCTTGACCCTACCTGTCCTGGACCTCTCTCTCCCTCCCTCTCCCTCTCTCTCCCCACCACAACATTAATACCAACGCATACTATAGTATATTCCGATCATAACTTCTTTGGTTTTGTTTTAACACTAATTTATGAGACAATCATTACTTTGAATGCATTTTATATAAAAACAATTTTTGGATTTGTTCTCAGATTTGAATTTCTTTGATACGATTATTTGATTCATTTATTAATTATATAATAGATTCGTGTAATTATTATATGTTTTAAATAATATATTAATTGAAACCAAGAATTGAATGTTTAGCGATATAAACAAAAGTTATAATAATTATTGTTTGAAAATACAGACAAGTTTGAATGTATATAAAAGAAGCAAGGGCAATATTCCTAAACTTTGCGCATGTATTTATAAATGTTAACGATTTACTTTTACTACAGTATGCTATGATTATCGCATGTATTGGCGATTGATATCATTATTCAAACAAAATTGAATTATAACATCGACTTAACATTGAATTTACATCAACACTACCCCATAGACGAGACAATATCCCAAATACAGCACTGTATTTAATAAGAATACATACAAAACCAAATCTCTCTCTCTCTCTCTCTCTCTCTCTCTCTCTCCTCCCTATTCTCGTGCCAAATAGTGAGGAATTCAATGGACGAGTCCTAACCCCTAACACAGCGCCTAAAGGGAGTGTTCACTGGGAGTGAAATTGAGGCTATTTTTGACTGATTTTATGGCAAAAATTTTATGCAATGATATTCTGTATATTGATTTGTTTCGGGACTAAAAATATCTTATTTTAGCCTTTTTTGACAGTATTTTCCTCTAAAAATTATTTGTATTTTGTTTGAAGCAAATTAGTATCAATGCCTGTAGTAATCAATGTGTGTATTGGCAGCCAATGTAGTCTCACACAGAATATTACGGTTCCCTTTGACATATAAATACATCCTTATCTATACATAAATTTGTATTTTAGTTAATGTTTTGTTTGATTCAATTATATGTTTAATGTATTTCTCCGAAAAAGTAGAACTCATTTTAATTGTATTTTGTTTTTCGTATTTTGTATTGATTTTCGAAAAGTAAATCACATTTTGTTCAGTGTTTGCATTTAGAACTAATAAAAGGTTTTCGCAAAAATTTATATCATATATAAGAGATTCGATTGAATTGTTTTCAGTTTAATATTGATTATATTATTTTAAAATATAATATAATAGCATTAGATTAATGTTATTAATAATATTAATATTTAATTTGACATTATTTGATAAACTGATATTGATTAATCTTGTTACGACTAACTTATTATTCAGTAAGTTGCTTTTAAGCTCGTCGTGGTCTCCATTCAACACAAATTGTAGTAAAATTTATTTCAATTCATTTTTTTCGCTTATCATAAGAATTAAATCTAATGTTTTCTGACAAAAGAATTGAATAGAATATGAGATAATCACTGGTATTAGTGTCAGGCAGTTGTCATCATAGGAAATATGTTGGCAAACATCACACATGCATTTCGTCAGAATATCATCTTTTTCAATATTTCCATTTTGTATTTTACAATTGTTTTATTCAGTGACAACAATTAAGTTACTAATTGTTTGCATAGACATCAAGCATAATATCTTAATCATAGTCTATTTACTATAATTTTAATAGACATGTATATAGTATTTAATTTGAGCGTTGATTGTAACTAATTATTGTTGTAATCGATTTAGATTTGCACAAATCAATTGATGACATGTTTTTTGGAAACATTTCAAATAATAAATGAATTAATTGTGAGACGAGTTTCTTTTTTAGTCGAGTCTGTGATCTAAATCTGATAACAAGAGTTTGCACTCAAGTCTTATGCAAATCAAATCCTAAAGTTTTATGAATACATATGATATCTATTCATAAAGTGTGCGTCACTTCTCATATACAGTATAAATATATTGAAGTAAAGACTATTTAAATAGATTTTGAATATAAAAAATATTTCGAGAAATAAGTTTTACTTCCTTTGGAAGACTTAATTCAGAACTTAATAGAAAATTGACGACTATTTGACTAACATTGTCAATATGCACACCGCATATCTCATACAACCTAGAATCTAGGTCCTAGATCGCATCTGTAACCCAAACGCGCAAATATAGTATTTTAGAGCTAATAATTAAAATATATGCTGAAATTGGAAAATATAAGATTGTTATTGTGTTGTTTTGCCTATTGTTTCAAGGTTTTGATTGTAACTTAACTAACATGTGACTTTATATGTGACAACTTTTCATACAACAAATGCCTTTTCAATTTATTGTAAACTTGTGCCAGAAACTTGTGTTGGATAATATTATTATTAATAATATATTGGTTATAGGTCTTATACCCAAATTCTATATTTCTGGAATAGGAATTATTATTGAAATGCAGTAGTTTTTGTAAAATAACAATATATGCTGTAATATATGATTACAGTTAATATCTGTAATAAATTTAATAAATTGTTTTTTACATAATAAGAATTAATTTAGATTAAATTGCAGAAATTAGTGATTTATGTAGTAAATATGTGCCATATAGATGTCGCTAATATAGAGTGATTGAAAATTTAGCCTAAATGTTTAGCTAGACCCCTAAACGTTCCCTAAATTTTACTACAGTACTAACATTTCTGTGATATCTATAATTAGAAAACCTCTATAACTCGAACAAACATTTGTGTTCCGACGAGTTCGAGAGGTTTAACTGTATAATTTGTTTTGCTTTTTCGTGGCAATGAGTCGATTACATGGTTTGGCAATGAATGCATTTTATGGCTTTAATATTAAACAAATCATACGATTCTTTATACTAAA